GAACCTGTTTCATGCACAGGCAATGTATAAGTAACACACCATAAAGATGTGCTAAGTAGCTATAGGTGAATATATACAGTGCATGTTCAAGAAAATCTTATATATAGTGCAGATTAATCATAGGATCCCCTAGCTTTCCATATTTTGTAAATGTCTCAATTGTTGTATATATAGTGTGTATGGATATTAGAGAGAGAGAGAGAGAGAGAGAGAGAGAGAGAGAGAGAGAGAGAGAGACCCCGTACGTGCAGTTTGCAGTTTGCAAAGAAGAAGCTGCAGAAACCTTATTGTAGAGTTTGGTTATATAGCTAAGAATGAAAGAGAGGTGGGGTTGGCCAGCTAGCTAGCTCAGATATATATAATATATGTGTGTGTATGTTGTGTATGTATTGCTAATACGCGCACAGAGAGAGAGAGAGAGAGAGAGAAACCCCGCAAGTGCAGTTTGCAGAGAAGATTGTAGAGAATTTGGCTATAGCGAGCTGAAATGGAGGAGAACTTAGACAAATAACAATAGGGACAATATGAGGTAAATATAGGCATGTGATGTTATTGTTTCTGGTCTTTTGGTAATTAAGCTGGTCAGCTATACGTCATTTTCTTTCAACGAAGTCAGCATTAAACAGCTCTATGTATAATATAAAATAAACACTACACAGACAATGCCGGGAACGGCATTTTCACACGTCGTCGCCTTTTGGGGCCATTGACCCTTAATAAGGACAGACAGACGCGGTGTGGCCTAAAAGTGCAGGCCACGGACAAGCCACCACAGATCCCTTAATTACGTGTATGGCTTGATTTGATAAACTGGTGATCTTCATCTCTCAATTATTTGCCAGATTACTCTTCTACACCCTATTGTCAAATTACTCTTTTCTTTTAATCCAAAAAACCTACTACACTATTATATTCTCTTCACAAACTTTAATATGAGGTTAAGGTGAACTTAGAGTAGTGAGGGGCGAGATAGCGGGGTGTGAGATGTGATGCTGATGAGTTTTTTATTTTTTTATTTATTCTGAAATTGTGAACATTTGAAATAAAAATTGAAGTGAACTTAAAATATAAGGTGAATAAATAAAAAATACGAAGCTTAAATAGAAAAACACTATAATAATTAGTCAACCCCACACATAGAGGCATGGAATTGAACAATGTCAACGCATAGTTTGTTCAAGTAGTGAACCTCCTATTGGGTGACTAAAACTTTCAACTCTTAATTCATAAGTAACTTATAATAATGAAAGCCGAAGATATTAAGGGATTGGGAAAGCTGAATTTATTTTTTGAATAAACGCTTTGAATTTCTCCTTTTCATAAACGTTTTGAATTTCTCCTTTTCATGCATGACTGACTGGGGATAGAGAGTAGAGTCCATTTCCTACACTATTGATTTTTCCAATCTTGCGTGTCTCCATCTATGCATGATGCGGTCAACTAATATAAAAAGAAAAATTTACTATTATACTCAATATTAGAAAATCAAATTATAAAAAAAAATCTTATATAAAATGGACTTTCGAAACACACCCAAATCTAAGTTACAACATAACAAAGAGACTTTGAACTTCTTATAAATTACAAAACTATCATCGATTTCTTAAAATAAGCACAACCTCAAAGCCTCATAATAAAACCCAAAACACTCAATAAATTACTTTGATGTGGGTTTTTTTTATGAGGTTTTGGAGTTTGGCTTGTTTTAAGAAATCGATGGCAATTTTGTAATTTATAAGAAGTTAAAAGTCTCTTTATTATGTTGTAAATGAGTTTTATGTGTGTTTCTAAATTCCATTTCATTAGAGAGTTTTTTTTATAATTTGAGCCCCTATATTTGGTATAATAGTAAATCTCCCTAAATTCAATAGGGCTATCTGTCGTTTTGTAGGTTTGTTTACGGAAATTAAATAGTATATGGTTTATTTATATCACTAATGCTAAGAATGAATATACAACTAAATATCTCATATAAGAATCAAGCCCATCACTAAAAGCGTACAGATCAGCAAGTCAACAATAATACAATATTGCACCAAGAAAACTAACAAAAATAATTGCCTACATAATTTCAAACGTGCACGACTACATCACGGTGGGAAAAAAAAGCTAAGCCCAAATGGGAAGACTTAGAAAAAGTGTACCAAAACAATTCATATGACAACTACGATTAACAATTTTTGGTGCATTATTTAGTTTATTTATTGTCTGGCCTCAAATTGTTAGTAATTCTTTTTTATAAAAAAAAGCGATATATTTTATAATTCAAGCTTAAGGGAAAAATAGGAGCAATTAAGTCCAAGTAAGTGAGCCTAACATGTGAATGCGGATTCATTCCAAAAGAATCATTCAAGTTCCCACCAAGTAACCACCGCAGTTGGAAAATCAAGAGCAAAAATTAACGGTGGGGTTGGTCTTATTGGTAGGTACAGCTGCTAGCTTTATCTTGGCAGGGGCCCATTTGGTACGGCTCCATGGATAGCCTCCCTCAATTTAATCAAATTTTGCGATCACAATAATTCTCTTTCAGTATATGGTCTTATCTTTGCTTCTGTCATTTCAACTACAACGTGACAAGGGTTCACATTAATAGGTACAGGCGTAGGATGATTTTGACTTTAATTTGCAGATCAATAATCTCAAGGTCGAACTCTTTAATAGTGTGTGTGACCCCATAATATTTGTATATTGTTAAAGATACATAATGACTCGCATGTGAAGGTTTGTACATTGTTAAAGAGACAGAATGGCTCACATGTGGGGGTGATGTATGGGTGAGGGCCAGTGCTAATGCTAAGGGCCACATACTAGGTCTCGTAAAATTGTAATCAAAGGAAGAATATTTGATTACTGGATGATTTTCTCTTTACAGTGTCAAGGGTATCTATACACAGGTTTCCTACAATCAAGAGACTAATAAAGGAAAGCAAATCATGTATAATCAATTACATATAATTTGGCTAATCACTCAATCCCTAATGTATCGAGATTCAGTTGACTTCTCAACAGGTTTGCAATGTCAAAAATCATCGTCAACACTCAACTACGACCACAATTTGAGTTGGGTGCTTTTACCATGCCTTTTGTTTTTATATATATATTTTGATTAAATTATCTTCTGATATAAAAATCTATGCACTTTGAGTTGGGTGCTTGTATCATGGCTTTCTAAGTACAATCCAACAAAAGCCAATTAATTTGGAAATTATAACTCAATCTCAATGTCTGATTCCTCAAGCTAGCTAGATCTCTGCAAATTAAGAAATTTTTGAAACTTGTTGAAAGTTGATATCAACATTCATCAATTTGAGCAATGAACAAAACCAAGACTCAGTTGGGGGACAAAACCCAGTTTACAAACTATTCCTAACCATCCCCCAAAATGCATCATGTTGAAGTATACACTTTCCCTGAGGTTGGCTTTGTAGTCTCCCATGAACAATTTCCAATAACCATTTTTTTTTCCTCTTTCTCAAATCTGCTTCTCAATAACGAACTAGCTAAACTGCCTTGAACAACTTTAGGGCCCAGGCTTCATGAGATTAATTTTGAAGTAAGTCTATTAACAAATATTGGGCAGCTTTGGGAGAGACAGAGAAAAACATTTAATGGAATGACTCAATCTGTGTCTCCCATATGCTTGCTTACATGATATTGATCAAAATGCAAATCACCATCAAAAGTCGGTCAACCTGCGAGAAGCTGCAAGATCCTCTTTCGTGCTGCTCATGGCACTCGAGTGACGAGACGCCCCGAGACCAAGATCCTCTCTCATGTTCATACTAGAGCGCTGAACTAACCGCACTAACTGTTGCACCACCTCTGACATAGGTGGCCGGAATTCAGGCTCCCGCTGTAGATACAAATTAAGGAATGAAAATGTTAGTCAAGGACAATCTTCTGTCATTTCCCAGTACTCAATATAAAAGCGTAAATGCATAGGTGAACCAATACTTGCAGAAACAGCCCCCTTTTTTTTCCTTTTTTTTTAAAAAAAAATTCTTATGGAATGGTTGATAATACCGTTCGAATGATGCTATTTGTACCATATTTATTGAGTAACTTGCTGACAGCCTCTCTTTTGCAGAGAGACTGTTAATAAATGTTGTACAAATAGCAGCACTCTTACAGTTCTAGATGCCCAAAGCCAAGCCTAACCAGAGCCCCTATAAATGCTACAGTTTCCTATATAGGTAGATATGTGTGTGTATTTTTGGGTGTGTAGAAATCACCTGAACACAGAGGGCAATGATGTCAGCAAACCGCGAGACTGACTTGGGAGGGTAGAGTCCACGGAGAGCAGGATCCACCATTTTTGACAAGGCATCGAGATCATGGAGCTGTGGGGTTGCCCACCGGACAAGGCACTGCTCCACAGGTGGTTTTGAACTAACGAAAGGAAACAAAAATGGTTAAGACTGGCAAGACATTGACAAGGTTTGTGAATAAAAGGCAGAGCGAGACGCCAATGTAACATACCTGTCAACCGGCATACGACCTGTCAATAACTCCAGCATGACTACCCCAAAACTGTAAACATCACTCTTTGCTGTATAGGCTGATGGCTTTGTGCATTCTGGAGCATTGTATCCCATCCCAAGGTTTTGGCTAGTACGCTGAAAACAAGACATTGCACCATTCAGGTTGTTATCTTGAAAAGAACATATAAGGAATTGATCCTATAAACACAATGATTCACTGAGTTTCAAGAGAATGCAATTAACCTGATGGAAGGTTGCCAAGCCATAATCGCAGAGACGAGGATTGAGTTCTATGTCAAGCAAAATATTAGATGATTTGATGTTCTTGTGAACTGTGGATGGAGAGCAGCCTTCATGGAGGTACCTGAAAACAGTTCACAAAGAGTTGATTTCAATGACCTCAAGAAATCCTGGTAAATCAAAATTGTTGATTTGCTCGATTCAGATCGCTAAACATATTGGCTAATGAGGTTGATAGAAAAATGTATGAGCAATTTCAGGAGTAGGATTTATAGTCACTTACTCAACAGCCCGGGCAGTGCCTAAAGCAATTCTGACTCTTGTGTTCCAAGTTAGGGGATTACTGTAGTCATCTGACATGTGTAAGAATTCATGAAGCGAGCCATTCCTGAAGTACTCGTAAATTAACATGTTATGCCCGTGTTCTGAACAATAACCAACAAGTTCGGCGATGTTGGCATTGCGAATCTTGGAGATATTTACAACAATGTCAGAAAATTCTTGTGGCGCTGAGCCTTGAAATAGTGAGGAGTCAATCTTTTTCACTGCCAAAACCTGACATGCATATGGCATAAGAACTGTGAGTAAAAATTGAGAGACACCTCTTAATAATAAGATAGGACTATCCCTAACTCCGGTTGATAAAGATATCCACATCAGTAATTCCAAATGAAGTTTTATGCTAGGACTTATGTTTAAACACAAATTATAACATGAACCAGTAGAAGATTTGGTGGTGAGTAGCAACTATATAGTAATCGAAAACTATACCTTCCCATCATCATATTTAGCCCTATAGACACGTCCAATGGTACCCTGCCCAAGAAGGCGAGCGGGTGCAAAGTTAGCAGTAGCAACCTGCAAATCTGCCAAAGCATAATTCGTAGCTTTTACAGAGGTGCTTCTTCTGGCAAAGGATTGCAAACGTCCAGAAAGCGACTTAAAACCAATTGATGGAGATTTTGAAACAGGCTTTATGTCAATTGAAACGGCTCCAGGATCTGTCACCAGCATATCATCTAGTTAGTAGAAAGTTAATAAACATTTGTAAAGTGACAGATATTAAAAAGCCAGTTGATACATTATTTTGACTGCATGACCAATGGGGCAGGAACCTAGACTTGGGGGGCAAGAAATAATATCAGGTGGAAAGCTCATCACATACACGTTGAGTTACATTGCAAGCAGATTTACAGTAGTTCAGTTCTATGTTAAGAGTGTTGCAGGATTTCATTAGAACAGCTTAAAATACAAATAAATTAGCAAAGAAAATCCAAATAAAAATATAACAAACTTTATCAGAAACTCATAATCAAAGATATTTCAAAGGCAATTCTAACAAAATTTTCCATCAAAAAAATTTCTGAATGAAGAAATTACCTTTATTTCTGAATGAAGAATTCAGTTCTCTAGATAATTCCTTAGATGAATAGGAGGCACCAAAGGATTTACGCTGGCTAAGCCTGTCATCATCCAGGAGGTGTGAAGTAGAAGGACGTCTTCTTCGTGAAAAAAGGGCAATTATAATTGCGAGCACCAAAAATATGGCCAGAGCTATCCCAGCTATGGTTAATCCGGTGGCTACAGAAGACTTCCCCCCACCACTCTGTGAGGAAGATCCTCCTCCTCTATTACGGCGTGCACCAGGGGGAGAAGGTGGAGATGGTCCAGAAGACCAAGAATTTCCTCCAGACCTTCAATTAGATAATAAAAAAAGTCAGAAGCAAATCATTAAGAGCTTCATCCTTGACATTGATCTTTGAAAAGGATACTTACTTTATGTTTATACCCTTCAGCTCGTTAGGGATCCAGCCAGAAAAGCGGTTGTTTTCAATATTCCTGCCAGCATGATAATGAATTCATTGAGTGAAAACAACTACTGACTCTAACAGGTACATATAGAACTATCATTTATAGATCTAGCTCAAGTATACTTACAGGTCCTCAACGGGAGTGTACACAAGTAGAGTGATTTGACCAGTAAATTGATTGTTCTGCAGATTCCTGCATGGAGACATAGAGGACTTAGCAACCAGGAACCTTGGACACGCATGCAGGTTTAAATTGTATTGATTCTTACAATTTTTTCAGGCTTGAGAGCTTTCCAAAACTCTGAGGCAAGTTGCCAGTCATTGAGTTGTACGATAAATCACTGCACACCATTTCATGATATATGAGTGAGTCAATAATCCTTCAATTACAGCAGATATCTATGTCATATCTAAATACAAGAATAGCTATCTAATTCAAAATGGCATTGCCACTAGTCACATTCTTTCATGGCAATCAGGGTATGAATAGAATTTCCAAAGCTCAAGAGGACAATGAGGGGTAATGGACAGTAGAAGCCATTTACAAAAGCTCAAGAGGAGTTTAAGTTTGTATTATAGTAAGAGACATAACAAACACGCATGAAACCTTGGTGCTAGCTAGACTCAAATACCCTAGCTTCTTGAAAAGAAAATGTACAATCGTGAAAACACCAACAACAAAAAAACGAAGAGTACAACCTTTACTGCAAAGTTAGAAGAACTTACAGCTCTTTGAGTTTAGAAAGTTTCCCAAACATATCAGTCAACTGTCCATTGAGCTTGTTACGACCAAGATTTCTGCATTTACCCACAAATTTGTGAGAAGTGGGAGTGGCTCCTTACAAGATTATGCTAACACAAGAACAAGTTCTACTTACAGAGTTTCAAGGTCAGACATCTGAGATATTGAATATGGCACAGTATTTGTGAAGCCATTTTGAGAAAGATCTCTGCAGATCAACGGAATTAGATTAGTATTGACAATGATGGAAATAAACTGAGGTATGACGCATTAATAATGATATAGTTTTAAATGTAAGGAAAATGACACATGTCATGAGAAAAATAGAGAAGGTCCAAAAGAGAAGGTTAAAGAGAAGGTTTCTAACATTCCCCGGTATGTAAAGGCTTACAATGATTTTGGCTTTGTATTAAAGTTTCCGATAAATTTTTGCATGTTCCGGTACCATCTAATATACGTAGGACATGTAGTTTGGATTCTTCAACTTGCTACACTACTTTTTAAAAATAAAAATAAAATATTTCCACAACAAAAATCTCGAAGTAAGTATTAAAAGTTAAAATAAAATGAAACAAATCTTAATCTTTTGAGGCACATTAATCGGAACGATGCAATTTAATTTGCTACTAGAAAATTAACAAATTTATTTAAATTTAACTCAATGCAGAAATAATGGACCAAGGGCAAGAAAATCAATAATTGAAACTTTGAGTTGGGCACTTGTATCATGCCTTTTGTTTTTATATTATGATTCAATTAACTCAGCCCGAAACGACCTAATTTTGAGTATAAGCACGATACAAGTACGAGTTACAACCACCAAAGACAAGTACACTACTCATTTTTCGTCAGGGCTGCTGTGGCTTTCTAATGAAGTTTGAAGTTGGCCAAATTTAGTTTTTACCTAATTTAAGTACAATCCAACAAAAGCCATATTAAATTGGAAATTAGAACTCAATCTCAATGTCTGATTCCTCAGGCTAGCTAGAGCTCTGCGTTGAAAGGACTCAATATGTCTCTCATATGCTTACATGTAACCGGTGAGAAGCTGCAAGAACCTCTCTCATTGGATTGTACACTAGTAATCTCTTTGGATTTGACAAGAAATTCAATCTCATTGGATTGTCCACAAGTAATTGTAATTCCTCAAATTTGAATATCATTTATAGGCCCAAAGCTTACTTCATTCTCTTTTTTTCTTTTTTCTTTTTTGGATGAAAACTACACTACACCAGAGCCACAAGTTTACTATTCACCCTAAAATGGCAGGTGTACTGTATCTTGAAAGTATTGATGCCCTTGTATGTTGGATCAAGCTGAATAAAGAGCTCACTTTGGGCCTGAGTAATGGGCCTTGGAATAATCCTTGTAACTTAATGAATAGGCGTGTCATTATTGGTACTTGGCTAAGACCAATAAAAAGATGTGTAACTAATCTGTTGTTTGAAATGTTTAAGATTCACACTCAATTTCTTAACATCTAATCAAGTCATTGTGCTACAAGTAAGGAACTTGCTTTGATTAGTTCTTTTTAATGCCTTATATGATTAAGAACTTCAATATTCTACTTTGTATGATTATAAGACAAAAGTCTAATACAACAATATACAAATCGGGCTACACCACCGGATATGACCTTTACACTGTTGGCGTTACCAATTTGAGCTTTAAGATATAAGAAAGAGTAAATAGCCTTGTATTGAGATCAAAATGGGCTATATTACAACTTGGAACTGAATATCTCTCTATTCAGTTCAAGATACAAAGAGTTGATGATAACCAAAGAACTTAAAAGACTAATTCTATAAACTAGGAATCATACCAAGTAATGGCAAAGCAATAAACAAAAGAAATCTCAAGAGTGGTCAACTGGAAATCTTAAAATTAAGAGAATGTAATTTGAATTCAATGAGATCAGGTATTGATCAAATTTGAATGTTGATCTCGTTTTGAATGTGAGAAAGATTATCTATGTCCCGTGCGTTTACAAATTGGTAGTATATATAACCCTCTTGGTATTTGTATATGCACATGTGGTGATAAGATGGCTGAATACGCTATCAATCCATCTTTTATGGGTGAGCTGGTGAACTCGAGTGCCTTGATTCTTAAGTTGACAGTGAGAACTAGCCTTAGTTTGGTCTTTTATCGACAAGTTAGTTCAGCAAGCCTTTAACATTCAAATCGCATTTAATTCGGTGGATACTACCTAAAATCTCCCCCAGTTGTCAAGATCTGACGAAATCCTTTGGGTAAAGTGTATTTACCTGGGTAAACCCATTTAGACCGTGGGTAAAAGTACTAAGTAAAAGATCAAACCAGTTTGGGCTGCAGCCATTGGGTACCCAATTCAGAAGTTATCTCTTCCTTAGCTTGGATAGAAACCCTAAATTTTTGGCCCAAAGCTCATTAAAAACACAACTGATTCTTAGCCACAATTTTTTCACGTAAAAAAAACTTTATATTCTCTTCCTTTACTGTGCAATTGAACTATGCCATGAGAATCTACAACCACAAAATGATTAGCTGACTATTGTACTCAGGACTCTATCTTGTATTTATGTTTATGCCTAGTGGGATTTCCCTTGGTTATCTGATTATATTGTATTCTTATCATACCTTTGTATAAGACTATCTGTAACACCGTATAAATCAATACAACATGCCCTCATGATGATTGAGGCTTTACCCCATATGTTCTAATTCTCTCATGGTATCAAGAGCCTATTGACTTATAGTCTGAAATTTTTCTTATTTTTAATTCCCCATGGCCTCTTCTTCTGATTCCGGTGATGCTCTTCCCTTTGTCTCTCAAGCTCTTCATTTCAAGCTTGATCGAAATAACTATTCCATTTGGTTGGCCTAGATTCTCCCTCTCCTCAAGAGCCACAATATGATGTCATTTGTCAAAGATGATGCCATCGCTCCTCTTACTTTTCCTACAGATGACAAGGGCAAGCTTACTAATGTCGTTAATCCTGCTTACGATACTTGGATTCAACAAGAACAATTGGTTTTATCCTGGATCAATAGTTCTCTTAGTTCTATAGTTCTCGCCACTGTCGCTCGTCTTACTTCTGCTCATTCTACTTAGGTGGCTCTTGAAAAATGTTTTGCCACTCCGAATCAGAATCAGATTTTGCAGCTTCGGAGTGAACTCTTCCGTACTGCTCGTGGTGATTCCTCCATTGCTAATTACTTGGACAAGGTCAATGTTATTGCCGACAACCTCGCATTATCAGGTTCTTCTATTCCTGACTCCAATCTTCTTGCTGTCATTATGAATAATGTTGGGTCTTTATATGAGTCTACTATCGCGTCTGCTCAAGCCCGTGAAACCCCTATTACATATGCCGATCTTGAGGTGCTCTTACTCTTTGTTGAACAATGCCATCTTGCGATTCAAGCTCCTACATGTGATGGTCATGTTGATTTTGGCTCACCTAAAGATGTGGAATGAGTAAAGGAAACAGATGGTCAAAAGAGCTATAGTCGTTTTGACTGGGCTCTACCGCTCGAGCGGCAAAATGGTGGTTTCTTGCCCAGGCACTGGAGCTCAAGCGAAACTTGCAAGCTCTTGAGCGGCACACTCTGACCCAGGCGCTCTAGTGGACGCAAGGAACTCGAGCGGGAGGTGCGAATTCAAGGCGAATCTTTGGCGAATTCGGATAGATTGTCACCCTATGACATATAAATAGGCACTTTAGCGCTAGGTTATTATGAAATGAGAAAAGTAAGGCATCAAATTGGGTTTGAGCCAATGATGAGAGAAAAAAGAGCTAGTGTTTGTGAGAGAGCAAAGGGGGTTCTTCATTGTAACCAAATGGGTTCTTTCATACTAGTGAATTTCTCGGGGATCACCAAGAGGACGTAGGCACAACGATGAACCTCTATAAATTCTTGTGTTCTTTGTGTGCTTGTTTACTTTTCAGTTTGTGTGTGCTTTATCTTTGCATGGCTTATGTCTGATAGTTGCATAGTCCATCAACAACAAAGTCTTGGAGTGTTTTCGCACAACATATTGTCCCACAAAATCCAAATGCCACTAGAGTAACAATTGGCATCCACAACCAAGGAAAATCATTCTTGACAACAAATGCCACCGGAGTCCAATACACCATTCTTGACATCAACAAGGATCTTCTGCATCAAAGCAGTTGTCCAAATAAACAAGGGTTTGTGGCCCAAAGTAGAGTCATTAGCAGGGTTAAAGGCCCTTAAAAACACCATTCTTGACATCAACAAGGATCTTCTGCATCAAAGCAGTTGTCCAAATAAACAAGGGTTCGTGGCCCAAAGTACAGTCATTAGCAGGGTTAAAGGCCCTTAAACTTACTGGTGCATTTCTGGAAGGTTACCAAGGGTTGTGGACTTTCTTCCTTCTTTCCAATTGATCATTTTAAGAACATCTCACACTTCTTTTTGCTCGATAATGTTGTAATTGTAGCCATCAACTAAGAAAAGCATAATTTAATTAGTATATGGGACAAATAGATTTTTCTTTAATTAAAATTGAATTGTATAGGTAATCGAACTTTCTCATAGATTTATTGACACATTGTGTATACATAGATATTCTCACTAGGCATCAAGCTGAGCCTCATAAAAATGAATTTCAACAATTGGCTCTTATGTATATGTTGCATCCTTTAAGTTGGATGAGCTGTACAATACAATATTTAGGTTTTGGAAGGGAATGGGACGCACTTGCGGTACCCTGCAAGAGCCCACAGAGGGTAAATATTTATGTAAGCTGCATAATGTAGCATGCAGTTCTTCATGAACACCCCTGTGATTTCCTGCCATAGTTCAGTGATTAATGGTTAGAAAAAGTTACAAGTAAAAATTAAGCAGATTGTAATGCAAGTCATGTTATGCTAAGAAAGATATACCTGTTGGGGAAAATCCCCATTTTCCGCTTGAGAATTGATAATCAACTTTGCCGCACGATGAAGAGGTGCAGGGTCTCTGTCTGCCTGTCCAGCATGAATCAGACCCATCATAGCCCATCCAGTGTGTACTAAATTTGATCGGTTTCCTTCGAGCGGAACGTACTCCTGTGTCACCCACCACAGAGACAAATATTTTAATGTAAGACAATGGCATTGTTTAAGAAACTTGAAGCTTAAAAATATAATCATCTCCCTATCATTTTACCTTTTTGGGACATGAAAGGTAGCTCTCTCCCCGACCACCATTCTCTCTCTGTGTTTTGAGTAGAAAGTTAACCCCTTTGCGCATGGCTAAACAATTATTGAAAGTCTTGCCCGCAGCTGCTAACCCTCCAAGGGCAAACCAGGAACCATATGTATGTGAAGCAAACTCCCCAATTTCCATACCTGTGCAAAATGTTCCTCAACTAAGTTATTCTTCTCCTCTAGTTGCTAATTGAAACAAACATTTATATATTTACGTATCTGATTATCTAAACATACCATGAACCATCTGGCATTTGTATACTTTCAAGGTACTGCGTAGCATTGGTAATGAAATGATCAATCTCTTTCCTTCTGTGCCCAGGGTACAACTTCTTAAACAGAACCAAAGCCTGAATTGCAGATGAAGTGCACTCAACATATTCATGCTCAACCACAATGTCCGCGAAGAATTCAGTGGGATTTAACATCTAGGGGAGACAAAAAAGAGAGAGAATATAGAGTAAGGATCTGCTAATGGATATTTCAAGAACATTAACTTCTTAATTCTAACCATCGACCATCCACCCAAGAATGATTGAATATGAGTGTCACTTACACGCGACACAAAATTATAATATCGCGTATCAAAGATTAAATGCAGAATTTTTTTAAAGGGAGTTGTTTTTTCATTTTATTGTAAGAATAATGAGAGTTGTAATAGGCATTTCAAAAATTTTATTTTGCATTCCTTCTTTTAAAATGGATAAAGAGAATGCAATATTATGGCAAACATGGGTAAAAATTTCTCAATAACTTGAGCCTCCCAATCCCAGTAGCAATACGGAGAATTTTCAAAAACTTCTATATACAATAAGACTTAAGGCATTATTCTATTTTAATTTTTAGACTTAGGATCTTTATGAAAGATTTTTGTATAATACAGAGTAATTAAAAATGAAAGCTAATAAAAATGCGTGTTCATATGGTTTTGGGGGATATGCATGATCTGAATTTGTCTTTTTCTTTGGCCATTGACTTGAGTTTGTGGTGATATCACATTGTAGGTCATATCTCAAATGTACACAGAATCTCTACAATTAGATTATGGCGTTGAACTTTTAATTAGTGGAGATGTTAGGTACAAAGATTTTTATTGAAAGATTACTCGTCACCCATATATAATGACCCTGTTGACTAACACTTCACTCTTTTTTATCTTCAAGAATTAATTCTTAGCAAGCTTGAAACCTAGACACGTGGATGGCATGCTCACACTAACATTAGTTGATACGTCACATTAATGAACTCAAATTATCATATGAAAATATCACATGCATATGTTTGGGGCTTAGCAACATTTGAATATGCACATAAATTTGGAAAAAAATTCTCCAGCTGGGAGAAAGCTATCTAAATATTTTTCACGGAAGAAGTTGTATCCACATTAAGTTGCTTTGTACGTGTTTTTGATTATCTTATCAATAAAATATTATCGCTCTTTTATCCACACAAAAAATGAACAGAGTTACTAATGGCATGAGGTCAACGGGCACCTAATCAAAGTGTCCCGCGATTACTGAGGCATATATACATTAAAATAGGAAGCAGTATGAAAAGTATGAAAAATGCAGGGAATTTTAAACAAAGAACACAATCCCTGAATCTCAGACTATAACAAAGCGAACAATAATCTAGGGTATAAAAGAAGTCTTACGTTTTCTAAGCATGTAGGAATAATAATTGAACAGTTATACAATATATATGTTGATGTCGTTGTGATTTTCCCAATAATATCTTTACCTTAGATTAGATACCATGTTTAATAATTTTTTGGAAATCAAATTTGACGCATCTTTTATTATTAATAAACAAAATATATGTTAACAGGGCTAAATTCAATGAAAAATGCCATTAACTTGCAAATCAATAGTCTAAGGTTTGAACCCTCATTTTACCGTGATTGTGTGTGTGAGAGAGAAAAATATCCAGAAGATGGGAGGAATGAAAACATAAGAAAGGCATATGAAATCATGTAGGTGAAAGCTAAAAATTAAAAACAACAAAATTTTATTTTATATATATTCTCCTTTATTTCTATCTTCACTCTTTCTCCACCATCCACCATCCACCATCCTCTTTCTCCCTCATTTCCCCCTTATCTTTTTCTCTCTCGACTTAATTTCAAAAGCAAAAAGCTGAAAACCCAAAAAGAAGTGTTGATGATAGGATACCACGTGCACTTAGTACCACATTAAAGACAAATACTAACAACTTTTGGAGTATTAACGCTGGAAACTTCATTAAAGACAAATCAAATACTAACAACTTTTGGGGTGTTATTTAGTGAATTTATTGTATTAGCCCACCAATGTGGACATATATAAACCAAGCACAAAGTACTATCCCACACCTTATTTATGATATGATCTCTCTTTCTCTATCTGGTTATTCAAGCGTTACCATTATGCTTTAATTATGCTAATTATCTTTCTTTTTTTTTTTTTTTTTTTTTTTTTTTAATCAACAATTTTTGCTCATGCAAATGCCATTAGACTAAAAGATTATGAGCAATGCTAGGCATACCACATTTGCATACCACTTTGTTAGAGAGGTGGAACCGGCCCACCTCTATTAAAGAGATAGTACACAAAGTGATATATGTTATGAAAAAATATAGTTTTCCTTTTCCATAAAGCCAAATAAAAAAAACATTTATATTACAAATAACTTATAAACAAATTGGAAAGCTTTTAAGGTATAATGAAATTGAAGAAAACAAAATAATAGGTAAGTAAAAGCAAAATAAATAATAAGTAAGAAGGTGAGTTTGGTACGGTGAAACATGTCAAAGACGTTGTCCTAAAGCCTTTGTAGCCTCCCTACGTGCAGGTACTGACGGTCTACAAAACTCCAAGATATGACCCCTTGTACACAAACTCAAGATCCGCTATGAGCATGTTCATATACGGATATAGGTATCCAAGTCACAGAACCATTGCCAAAATAATAATATAAAGTAGAGAATATATATAAAAGTAGAAAAGGAGAGAATTAGTTTTTGGTGGTGATTGTGGTATATGATATTCTAATAGTGTATTGTGATTGTTACAAATGTGAAGAATGAGTGGCCTTTTATAGGACATCTAAGAACATGTAACCTTCATCAACTAGAAAATTAAGGCATTCAATATAGAAATAAAACCTAAATATTAAATATTTATAACCCTCACAATAAATAAAATAAAACAACTAAAATAATTAAATAAATAAAACGATTAAATTTTTAAAACCTTTTTAAAATTCCAACAATATATAAATGTGGTATAATGACTAGCATTTTTTAAAGATTATTGGCTAATTCTTCACGAGTTCCCCAGTAAACCTAATAAATGTACATGCATGTAATAGCTAAAAATAACAGTACAGTTAGGCTCAAATTCTTGAAAGCTAGGTCATATGTTGGCCATGCTTCTACAAATGTATAAGGTTTAATTTTTAATGACCTAAACCCTGACCTAATTGACTCAACCGGTGAGAAGCTGCAAGATCCTCCCTCATTGGATTGTACACAAGTAATCTCATTGGATTTTCTAGGAGCAAATATTTTTGTCTCCAATCACGGCATGCCACGTGAAAAAGAAGATTATCTCTTAAATTAATTAATTGAAACAGTTTATCTGGCCAATTAATTAATAGGGATAAATATATAAATTAATAAGATATTATCTTTATTTAATAAGATAATATCATTAATTCATATATTATCCTAATAAAGAGAAGATAATATCATTAATTTAGATATTATCCTAATAAAAAGAATATAATATCATTAAATTATATATTATCTTCAAGTCCGACTTGATCCCTACGAATTTGGGTAGAGAATAAACTCGTCATATTCTCTACGAAACCCTAGCTCCGAGGCTCCTATAAATAGACGACTTCATTCATCATTCAAGGTACATCTAAACCTACTCCTAAACCCGAGAAAAATACCCGAAGCTCTCTCTCCCTCTCCACTCTCCATATTTTCTCCACACGGCTCCGCCACCACACACGGCTCCGGCCGCCCGGTTCACACCATACATACAACTTCGTACCCTTTGCTTACCTATTGTTTTCCTACAAACACTCGAACTAATTTAGGCATCGGATGACATTTGGCCAACACCCCCCGGGTGTGGTCTATTTACTCCAGTTTTTTTTACAGGAATCGAGGAAGAGAGAGAAGGAAGATCGAAGGTTGAAAGATCTAGAAGCGAATATTCTCCCGTGAGATTATTTGCACAAACATTTGGTGTTTTCATTGAGAGCACGAGTTATACTCAACGCGTGCTCAAGGAATCCATTCCTCCTATTTTTCAATCCACCGAAGCCTTCCAAACAACCATGGTTGGAAGCAAGCGCACGAGGAGCAAAACCGCAGCGATGGCTCAATTCGTGACGGCCCAAAGCTACTCATCCCACTATCCCGCGATCGACATGGCGGCTCCACCACCTCTCGCCGCCATGAACCCGCAGCAAACCCTAGCTGCCGCACCACAACAGCCACCCGTGTGACTGGAACCACCGCGCCGGCCTCTACCATCGTCGTACCATCTCAAGGTCCCATGGCCAGATCTAGCCACCTTCATAACACCACTGCCGAGCACAGTAGAACCTCCCATCAAGGTGGGCTTACTACCACCGACTTTGGCCTAATCTTGGAGCAACTTCAAGCGTTCCCTACATTGCCTCCACGCTCAACACACGCTCCCGCATACACATCCAATGAAACCCTAGCTTGTGTGGAATTGGGCTCCACACATTTCTCTCCTCCCGATCCACGAAGTCAAGTAGACCTTAATCTGAGAGTTGACCAGCTAACTCAGAGAATGGACGACCAAATAATTTGATGAGGCAGCTCCTTAACCAAATAAACTTGGCCCAAAACCTTGGCCTTGGACAACAAGGCGAAGAGAGAAGGATGGACGAATGGGCCAATAGGTAGTTCGATGGGAACCAAGCAGGTCGAGCAGGAGTAAGCAGACAAGAGATGCACAACAACGTGATTAGCTTACCAACATGTCACAAGCATCTGCACGTCACACTCAGAGTAGACGAAGTCTCCCATCCATATGAATTTAAGGACCAACGTACGCAATAGGCTGGGCCCAATACCTGACATCCATGCCCGCTTAGTTCCGCAAGGAAATGTTCATGAAAGGCTAGGATCCCAAGGAGGTCGAACTGACAATCATCCCAATGAGGATCGTGAAGAAAGGCGCTCCGCTTCCCGCTCGTAGAGAAATATTCACGAAAGGCTAGGTCCCTAGGAAGGTCAACTTGATAACCCTTACAATGAGAACCGTGAAGAAAGGCGTTCTGCTGCTCGCTCTCGAAGAACCAATTCTCATTGCCAAGTTACAGAAAATTTCTCGCAAGCGCAGTCCACCAACACGCTGCCTAGGCAGCGCAACGGAGAAGGTCGACCCTTGCAAACCAACGA